ATACCACATGGAACAAACATACGTGCTGAGGCTACTAGGTTTGCTAGTCTATTCACACTATAGCTATTCACACTCGTAGCAAAAGGGACCGGGTGGATTGGCAGGCATGACTGTTCGATCCCGTCGATAAGGGCATCGCGTGTCAGAAAACACTTCGATGATAATACGGTTGTTGAAATCAAAATTACCGCTCGGAATGCGCGAGCCCCATGGACAAAGGTTTTGATTGAACGATGTTGCTCTGTTGAACATGCCGCCGATGGAAGAAAGGCTTCCAAGGGAAGAAACATTCCATGATGAAATATCTTGGTTGAAAGATTCCGCCCTGGAGAACATCGACCCCAGGTTTGAAACAGACGAAATGTCCCATGACGATATGTCTTGATTGAAAGATATTGCCCTGCTGAACATGCTTGCCATGTTGGTGACGGAAGAAACGTCCCATGATGATATGTCTTGATTGAAGGATTCTGCCCCATAGAACATGTGCCACATATTGGTGACGGAAGAAACGTCCCATGATGATATGTCTCCATTGAAGGATTCTGCCCCAGAGAACATGATATGCATATTCGTGACAGAAGAAACGTCCCATCCTGACAAGTCTTGATTGAAATACCTAGCATTGCGGAACATGTTATCCATATTCGTGACAGAAGAAACTTCCCACGATGATAGGTGCTGGTTAAACTGATTTGCACCGTTGAACATTGATTGCATAGTAGTGACGGAAGAAACATCCCACGATGACAAGTCTTGATTAAAGGCTGATGCGCTCTGAAACATTTGCCCCATGTTGGATACGGAAGAGACATCCCACGATGAAATGTCTTGGTTGAAGACCGTAGCACGAAACATCCCTGCCATATTGGTGACAGAAGAAACATCCCATGATGTCAAGCCTTGCCTGAAAGCAGATGCTTTCCAGAACATTCCGTGCATATCAGTTACAGAAGAAACATCCCATGATGATATGTCTTGATTGAAGGAGCCTGCATTGCGGAACATCCAATGCATGTCCTTG